AAAAAGAAATTGTTCAGAAAGAAGTCCTATGCTGGGATAATACTCAATTTCCGGTCCCATAACAATTAGAGGCTAAAGATTGGAATGATCAACCGAAGCCTACGCCTGACGGATGCAGATTTCTGAGATGAGGAGCTGGAAAAATTGACGAGGATGTTGCTCGGCAATGGCTACCTAATCGAAGTGATAAAAAGAAACATACGAGCCGTGAAAAGCCGATGGCAGAACGAGAACTACGAAATAACATTAAGGAAGGAGAAGGATTCACACAAGTGGATATGCTTACTTTCCTATGAACTAACTCAAAAACTATGGCCAATATTGAAAAAATGGAATATTCAGGTGGCCATGAAAGATAAATCAACACTTTTCACAAGTCTACCAACGCGACATGAAAGAATAGACAAATTGGACTATTCAGGAGTTTACTGTATATCATGCGGCGCCTGCGAACAGAAATATATTGGCGAAACATGAGGAAAACTTAGCGCAACAATCATGGAACATCAGAGGCTATGCAGGAAAATGGATACTGAAAGATCAGAACTAGCGGAACACATCGCACCGACTGGACACGAGATCAATTGGAGGGCAACAGAAAGGAAAGCTCCATACGTTGGCAACACAAGGAAGTGGAAGATTAGGCAGGTCATTGACATGTTTGGGGAGACAAGGTAGAGTTAGCAATAACTTTGCAAGCAAACTGCCTAAGCAAACTTGGGGAAAAGAAGAATAGAGCAAGACCAGCAAAAAGGAGACGCTTCGATCAACGATCTATCGCTAACCGGAAGAAAAGAGATCGCGATGAGGAAAGTGGGTGGTGGGGTTTTCGGCAATCAAGCGAAGATGTTATCAGTGAGTGATGTCTGCTTCGAATAAACCAGTACAACTTTGGGGGCCTAGTAGTCATGGAGCTTGGCAGACGGATATGCAAACCGTAACAGAAATTCGACATTATGGCCAAAATGTACTAGAAATCCACTTGAGATGCCGCATGCGACCAGAGATAGGCGTCCACAGTTTGCTCAGGTAACACGGGTTAAAGCAAGGAGACGATAGCTGCAAGCATGGGAAATAGAGCCTGGGCGCTCTGCTCGGTGATGCGACAGTGTACGTGCTTCTATGGACTTGAGAAATAGCGCCTGGAATGAAATACACACTGGCACTGGAACTGAGTGAAATCGGTCAACCAGAAAATGGAGGAACGGATCTACGGGACCATGAGGGCATCCGGATTGTAGGCCCGAGTCGGATCAGCCGATCGAACGAGAGAGGATCGGGGTGAATAGCAAGTGTGATGATGCCACACTAGATTATCCCAAAAAGAGCACACATTTTGACGAGTGGAATGTAAACAAGTGAGAAGTTGTGATAGAGCGGGAGTTGGAGAAGAGGGTAAAGAGTAGATAGATAGGCCGGTACAGAAAGAGGATTGATAGTGTAACCATTTTCGGCTGAACGTTTGCCGAGTGATTGACTTCACTTGTCTCTTTAATGAGTTCGCAGCTTGGTGCGGAAAACGGCAAGACTCACTGATGATGCCGACTACGATGCCGGCGAAACGTTCGAGAATGTACCAAGTCCACTATCTGAAGCTGGGATTCAATACAACTACTATGACAAATGACTTTGAATTAGGTGATTTCTACTAAGTCTCCCTGACAACAAGACCATGTTGCGACGACGAGGTCAACGCCCTTCTTTTATCAGTAGAACTTTTGATAATAAATTTATTTATTTTAGGTTGCATAAGGTCATGAAATACAAATGGTTAAACTTTCACAAAATGACGCTCAAAATAAATCTTCATCCAGTTTCGACCTAACCCGGATCTCATCAGTACCCCAACGGGAATTGAATCCGGTTAGTGAACCAGTTATTCTAAGCATATTACCACTACTTATATACGTTTTAAGTAGTTTTCTGATAATAACTGTAGATTCTACATTTAAGATGTGGAAGGTCTGATAGCTAGATTACTCCATACTGATATGAGAAGACCTTGAATTTTCATTGAATTGCACAGTCTTGCTTCCCAAAAGGTATTCTCATGATAATATTTAACTACCAGTAATTTATCACCTGAATACACCTATTATATTAAACTATACCCCACTGCCAGGTATTCACAGGTCAAACATAGACTTCAACGTAAGCCAGGCCTCTCTCATAGCATATTTTTATAATGGGGCTATTGATTAAGCAAATCTGTATTTGCCATAAACTCGATTACGTTACTTACATTCACGCTGAGTAGGATTGGGCACTACCAGTAAATCCGGAGTTAGAAGTGTACTCAACCCAAGCAGATGCATGTACTTTTCCTATATAAGAAGAAAAGTTAGGTTTCGAGGAATGTATTATTTCATAATTGTTGAGCTTACTTCCATTTCGAGTGAAAGTGCTTGGTGAAGAGATTCCAAGGTCGATTCCACCAGAAGACAACGACGGATTCCTCTTGACCAGCTGTCGATTGGCTTTACTGGAGCATTCATGGCGACGCTGTTTCCGAGGTAAACACATTAGATTGCGGTCAAAAGGTGCTAAGCTTTCGTCCATCATATGACGAACATCATCAGAGCAGGGTAACATCGTCGGCAAATCCTTTTCTTCGCATAAACGAATGGATGTCGGTTCATTTGTGTGTTTGCTTGATTTTTGCATGTGTATGTCTATGTACCTGTCAATGTATTGATGGATTCTTAGATGGATGAATGGATTTACGGATGGAATGATTTTGGTTTATGTTTATTTTAGCCTATTTGTGTTTTTCTATGTGTATATCAATGCATTTACGGCAAACAGATGGTGGAGTAGATAGATAATTGAATGGACGAATATACGTTTATACGGAGAAATGCTTGATTGAATTTATGTATTTATAGCTGAATGAATCCACCGTCGTCTTCTGGTGGAATCGATCTTCGAATCTCTTCAACAAACATTTTCACTCGAAATGGAAGTAGTTACTTTTCATTTTTCGTTAACTCTTGATAATTCTGGACTGACGTCAGGCCCTGTTGTGGTTGTGCAGAGTTATGGCTGGTGGTTTTGTACCTCGACCTATACGTTCAGAATTAATCACACTCAAACATAGAAGTAATTATTTTTCGTTTATAAGCAGAATTTCGAGACCACCAGTAAATCGGTTATATGACATGTATTCAACCTATTTCGTTTAGGTTGATGAAGGACTGGCAGTTGAATTTTCCTACAAGGATATGAGTGGAGTTGACGTTTCCATTGAATCTAACAGAGACTTGCTTTCGCAAAAGTTGTTCCAATCCAGAGCGGACTGCAGTTTCGACCTCATCTAGATCTTATCAACACCCTCAGCGGAAGTCGAAACATGACAGTGCAGCGAGTAAACTCGACACGTTGACCACTCTGCCACATTGCCGCGAGTGCCCTTTGGTCACAGGGCAGATGTGAATTTCAAGGCTGGGCATCTTTCCATATCACATTTTTGGGTGGGATTGCTGATGAAGCAAATTATATTTGCCATAGCAATCGCCTACATTACTTATTTTTCGTTTATAAAGAGTAATTTAAGACTACCAGAAAATTAGTTATATCTCATAAGTTGCATCTTGAAACTCTGCTTATATACGAAAAATAAGTAATGTAGTCGATCGTTATAGTAAATATAACTTTGCCTCATCGGCAAGCCCAACAAAGAATGTGATATGGGATAATGCCTGGCCTTCCTTGAAATTCACATTTGCCCTGTGACCCAAGGGCATTCATGGCAATGTGGTGGAATGGCTAACGTGTGGAGATTGCCTGCTACCCTGTCATGATTCGACTCCAGCTGGGGGTATTGATAAGACCTATGCAGGGTCGAAACTGCAGTCAGTCCTGGATGATAACACATTTTTTGAAAGTGAGGGTATGTGAAATTCAATGGAAACGTCGGCCTTACTCATATCCTTGTGGGAAAATTCAATTACCAGTCCTTCATTATTTTAGACGAAATAGGGTTAATATATATCATATAGAGATAATTAAATTAGCATGAAAAGGACTAACCAGATAAATAAATAAATAAATAAATAAATATATGTATAGATGGACGGTTGGATACACTTTTTCATCCCTTACTTGTGAGGCGAACTTGAAGTTGGTGTAGAACTGAGGTTCAGCTTTGGCGAGACCTGTCATCCGAACGTAAGGATGAATTCTGGTTGACTGCGCTAACCTGAACGTAATGGTAAAGTCAAAGAAGAGGAAAAAGCCGTCGTCTTCTGGTGGATTCGGCCTAGGTGTTTCGTCAACAGGCTCTTTAGCACCAAATAAATGTCACCACACCAATACCACCTTGAAACCCAGTCACTCTGTATAATCGCCTGCAAGTTGTACTAGCAAGGAGTATCTAAGAGCTATGATTGTGGTAAAATTCTACTACCAGTTCTTCATCACCTTTAACGAAATAAGGTGAATACCTCTCATATTACTGATTTACTGGTAGTCACGAAACTCTACTCCGATACGAAAATAAGTAACGTAGTCGATTGTTATAGCAAATATACGTTTACTTCATCGACAATCCCACCAAATAATGTGATATGGGATAAGGCCTGGCCACACTTGAAATTCACATTTGCATTTTGACCCAAAGTGCACTCGTGGAAATGTGACCGAGCATAGGCGTGTCAGGCTCACATGCTGCAATGTCACGGTTCGACTCCCGCTGGGGTTGTTGATAAGACCGATGCGAGGTCGAAACTGCAGTCCACTAGTGCCTGGATGTGATCAACTCTTTGGAAAGCAAGACGATGTTAAAGTGAATGGAAACGTCAGCTCTATTCATATGATTGTGGGAAAATTGTACAACCATTCCTGCATCAACTTAAACGAAACAGGGTGAATACCTCTCATATTCTGTTATGAGTGTCTGAGAGCAACTGGGATTCTGTCTTCTTGGCGTCTCAAAATGTGCGTGGAGTCCGATAACTGAGAGACCAGTTGCTTGGCCCTCGGTAGGACAGAGCGTCCGGATTCTAGACGCGTCGGGTGGCGGCTTGCCACCCTCCTGCAGACAGCACAGGACATACAGACATGCTCACCTGTACAATATAGCCCTGCAGCTTTCGCAGGCTTGAGCCGGGGAGATAAACGCCATACAGTTGTCTGTCCTCATCAGCCAGCCTCCCAGACCGGCCTGCATCGCTTTTCCCGCCTTCGTCGGCGTCGTCAACAGCGATTTCCGCCTCAGATCCTCTTTCACCATGCTCCTTCACTCCACCGCCGTTGTCGTTGCTGTCGTCCGCTCGGTCATCCCTTCGTCTGGCGGAGTCGTCGGGGAAGAGGTCGGCGTTCTCCTCTCCCAGCTCCGACGAAGCCAGCCTTGGCCCGACCGGACGAGTCGACCATCGGGTGCTCAAGTAGTCGATGCCCACGGCAGCCATGATCGAAGTGTTCCAGGCGGCCACGGATCCAGGCAACGGGGAAGGCGACGGTGATGGCGACGGCAACGGCAACGGCAACGGCAACGGCGAAGGAGACGGTTTTGACGGCGAGTTGGAGCCGGTCGGCACCGCTTGTGGCTGGGGTGGCAGGCACATGAACAGGAGGAAGAGGAGCAGCAGGAGGAGGCATGAAGTCGGGCGACCCGAAGGAGTTTGCTGAACGCTGGAGGTGCATGTTCTCGACTCGTCTTTCGACGTCTCTAGGGCGCATCTCAACGGCCCTCGGTGGGCCCGAAATTTGGATGTCATCTCTTTTGTCTCATCAACTCAAATGGCCGTTTCCAGGTCAACGGATTTCTTCGGCCGAAAGCTAGGCAACATCATCTGCCAATTGGAAAGTGGGTATTTTTGAGCTGTCCCCTTGCGCATGATCCACCACTTCCGACTAGAACACAGACATGCACATACACATACAATTCATATGATGCAGTCTCCCAGTGCCCTCGGGAAGGCTTATGATCCTCGTAATCCTAATGACCACTACGGCTGGGCTGAAACCGCCAAGTCAGAATCCTAACGTGGAGTAGGCCACACAAGAGTCTGTTAACTGTGATCGTCATTCACATCTGCGGCCCTTTCGCCAAGCCCTCTTGCAGACTTGTTGGTCTGTCTTCGTTTCATTCTCGTCCGGTGCAGAACATGTTTCCTCATACGTCGACGCAGCCGTTTGCTTCCAGTGTCTGTCCCTGCTGTAGATGCCACACCATCTATTCACTCATCCTTTATCCACTCATCCATTCCGTCATCTCTCTGTCCCTATCGTCGGCGTTCCATGGCTCTACCGTTCCCCCCTTCTCTCTCTTACTCATCCACACACACACACTCTCTCTTTCTTCTCTCCTATCGACACAACAGGCTGCCTAGCAGTTTGACTACCTACTGTCTGCCCTTTGTTTCCGACCCACCTTTTTTCTGTACATCGTTTATCACTCATTTCATTCATGCCTGTTCACCCTCTCTGATTTATCTGTTCCCCAGTTGTCTGCGCTCATTTTTCCTGTTATTTGATGCTCCATCTGGTCTAAGTAGCGTCTAATTCTTCACATGTCTATACGGTTCGAAAGGATACCGTTTTTTGCCTTTCAGACCTGTCTGCCCATCCCCAACTCATGTTTGTCCCTCTCGAAATTCCCACCTCAGAGCCTGCATTCTCAACCGGCCAGTTCGACTAGAGTCATGAGGACACGCAGACGTTCGCCTCGTTCCCAGCCAACTTTACTCGTGCCTCTCGGCCTCACGACGACAGTAAAAGTCGTCTTCGGTGATCTTTTGTGATGAGTGGACGTATAATTGTCTGCTTTGACATGCCTTCCTGTACGTGGTCGCATCTCCTTTGCCTCTCGCAAAACCTGTACCCGCACAGCTATACTCCCA